CGGGAACCCATGAAGGTCCTGGACAGAACCGAAAAGGCTTTTGGGAGACTCGCTGCGAATCGCCACAGCAAGCTTCCAGAATCCATTATTCCAATTCATTTTGGCCCTGCGGCTGCTTTGCAATCAGCCAGTTGCCCTAGCCATCATCCCGAAATCGATTCCCTCATCCATAGGCGAGAGGCCTGCATTCGGGAGAGCAGTACGACGCTGAGAGGATAGGGGTGCGGACCCCACGACAGGACTGAGGAGCAGACGGGAGCGCCCGGATCGGAGCGGCAAGGAACTCCGGCCTGGGGGGGACGGGCAACATGAGGCCTGGGGGTGGAGCTCGGTGGGGGAGACCCGACAGAGGAAGGGGGACGCAGAGGTCGCGCCCACCCTCCCGGGGTCCCCGAGTTCTGCTGGGTCCCCGAGAAATGCACTAGGTAGGCGAGGGAAGCCGAGACCTCCTCCCTCCCGCTCCCTCCCAAGCCCACCTCTCTCCCCTCCTAGTTGGAGTTCCCCCAGTTGGGGAAGGGCCTTTGGGGGTGGGATCCCCCTGGGCTGCTGGGGGCGAGAGTGGGGGGTGGGGTAGTATTGAGAGAGGAGGGGAGGGGGTCCCCTGTCCGTCTGCTCCAGTGGGTGGGGGAGGGGAGAGAAGGAATAAGACGGAGACATCTCTATTTACAAAGTATATATTTAAACACGTAAAAAGCCGTATTGGATACAGACAGACATTCACGACCGCAGAAGATAAGTACCGAAGCCTCACTGTTGAGATGAGGCGGAGATCGATCCAAGATTTGCACGAACCTTAGAATTAAATAAACCCGACCCGCGCAGTCCCAGCGGCTGCCGGCCACCAGCCCACAGCCCTGCCCTCCTACCCCGTGCCCAGGTCAGCGAGCGGAGGAGACGCAAGGCCAGGGACAGACAGACGGACAAAGGCGCGGGGGCAGAGCCAGGCTAGCCCGGGGAGGTGGAGGAAGGAGCACAGGCGGCCGGAAGGGAGGAAGGAGGAGGGAGGGCGGACAGGCGGCAGCCAGGTAAAGACACGTGTCCCCGAGTTACTGTCCACTCGGGTCCAGGCAGGTCCCTTCAATGAAGTCTCATCTGAAAATAGCGTCGACATTTCCATAGATACACTCAGTCAACGGCGCTTCTCATACAAAGTCTAAAATACCAGTTTACAAATGTGAGCAGATAAAAATCCCCATCCGAGGGGCTTCTTTATAGGCGCAATTTAATATTCAAAAACAAACAAAGTCATGTAATACACTGTTTCACTCTTCTTTCACCCCCTCTCTCTCAAGGCAAGAAAGTCTGGAGGAGAGAGAGGCTGAGGCGCAGGGGGTTCCCGCCCTGTCCCCCCAATGAGAAGCTCCCCCTCGCCCCGCTCCCCGCCTCGCTCGCCCCGAGTCTGTGCTTCCTCCAGCGCGGCCCCCCCCCCTACCCCTGGCTCCCTCCAGAAGCGCTGAAAAGTTGGGTCTCCGCTGGCCCTTTAAGGGCGGGGAGGCCGCAGGATCAGTCTTCGGAGGGAGAAAGGGGGCACATTTGTGCTTTTGAGTCCAGTGGGGCTCGCGTTCTGCGTCCCGGGAGCGCATCGTGGTCAGGAGCCGTCCCGGAGAGGTCCTCCGGGACCTGAATTGAGTGAGGGCCTACACGGGTGGGAGTGACTGCTCCTCCAATCCCTTTGATCCCTCAGATTTGGCCGGAGGCGACCCTGAGGAACCAATAGACAACCGCCCCACAACACACACAGACCATTTAGTGCATGTATTGCTTTTCAGGAAGTTGCTGATGGAAACGGCATAAATTTCATTCGTGTACTTGAAAGGTAACTCCTCTCACTCTACTGTCCTTGGGAACAACCCCAAAAAAAAATGAGAGAGAGCCCAGGCCGTG